TCTGTTGCCCAGGTAATCATCCATTGATATGGAGATGAACTTTTCTCCACCCCTGAGGCATGCCTATTGATATGCATACACACTAAAGCCAGGCAAGATATTCTGGAAATATAATTTTAGCCACACCTGACTCCTACAACACAGTGTTGGGGAGGTGCACTTACCCTTCAAGTTTCTTCTAGCTGGTCTAAGAATCAAACTGACATAAGACAGTTTACCAGGGGAAAAAAACCCAAAGTTTAATTACGTATCTACTGGGGAATCTGTAGATAGTAGATTCCAAAGACAGTCAGGGACAATGCAGTATATACGTTATCCTGAACCAAGGAGAAGGCAGGTAGGGGCCTGGGACTTCAAAGGAAAAGGGAAATAATTCCCCCAAAATGTGAAAGATTAACTGTTTGGTAAACAAATATTTGCTGGGCCACACAGACACAGTGGGACAAAGAGAAGAATTTTGATAGACTTTGCCACAGGCCACCTTGTCTACCACCCCTAGTTTATATTATGACATACGCTATCTGTGGTGATAGCTCTCTTCCTGGAGCAGGTCATCCGTCTAAGTCCTTTTTATGCAGTTAGTACAGGGAGGGCCTCTCGGATTCCCTTTTAAAATGGCTCTAGTCATGGCAATTTTCCACAGCCAACATTGGGCCAGCCAGGCACGTGTGGCCATCTCTGACTCGGGCCAGGCTGGGTGTGGCACACTGAAGGCCCAGTGCCTCTGTGGCCAGTAGATAGTGCTGTGGGGAAGAGAAAAGGGTCCCAGGGCTTTTACAGGAGTAAAAAAGAATGGCCAGGACTGGGGGACAATGGAGCTTGAGGGTAGGTGGCCTGCCAGCACGCCCACCTCTTCTTGCAGCCATCTCCAGGTGTGAGGCAGGTGCCGGTGGGGGAGGAGGAAGAGCAGGGGTGGGCGAGTCCAGACCTGCTGCCCATTGGCCGAGGTGTCCTGAGGCTGATGAGGCGGTGGGGATGGAGTGGGGGACATGGGGATATTCCTCTCCAGGCCAGGACCTGCCAGTTTGTGCTTCTATAAGGCTAGCTTGGGCATCTGCCTGCTGATCTAGTGTCCCCTACCCAGCACACACACACACACACACACACACACACACNCACACACACACACACACACACACACACACACACACACACACACAGACTGCAGCTATGGAGTGGGTAGGCAGTGGGCACTTTGCCTTCTGGGCTGGCAGGTTTCCAGAAAGGTTTCCCTATTGCAACCTAGGGCTGCACAGTTGGCCAGCGTGGAGAATCTCATCTATTTTCCCTCATGCCCCCACAGCACCAAGCATTGTGTCTTCTATACCTAAGTACCCAATTAGGGTGACCAGCTTGTCTTGTTTTTTCTGGAACTACCCAGTGTTAACACTAGTTCTGCATCCTGGGAACCCCCTCAGTCCCAGGAAAACCAGGATGGTTGGTCAACCTTTCAATAAAAGAAGTCTCCTTCATCTCTGCCTCCAAGGGCATGCTGGCTGGCTGACTCCGAGAGGCTCTAAGACCTTAGTGTGGTTGGCCCTGGTAAGACAGGCCAAGAGCTGAAGTCCCAAGGGCTGTCATCTGGGGCTTTTGTGCTGACAGGGGATATAAGCACTCACACACAATGAATGTGTATGTGGCTGTATCAGGGCCACAGAGCCCTAGGGACCACTACATGCATGGAGCCCAAGCTGAAGTGCTGCAGGGGTCTCCCTGAATACTTAGGAAATGGGCTTGATATCACAGAAGGCTTCCTGAAGGAGGTAAGGTAAGTTTGAGACTCATGAGTTGTCAGACACAAGCAGAGTGAGAATCCTGGGTTGGAGGGAGGCAGGTGTAGGTGGAGAGGAGGCTGCAGTGGGCTATCAGGTGCATGTGTGCGTAGAACAGATGGACCACGCTGGCCCAGGTGAGAAAGGAGGCCCTGAAAGCCAAGCAGTAAGGTAGAGAGGGGAGAGAGGCATGCTAAACCGCTTCTGGGAAGACTGGATTTAGAAGGCTGTGAGGAATTAGTGTGAAGTGCCACTTTTGGGCCCAAAAAACATATTAATTTGGGGGAGCCACCTCCCGTCACTTAGCTGTCCTCTTCCTTTCCTCTAGCCTCAAGCTGGGGTCCACTGTCTGCTGGTGCCCAGGAATTTGGGCCCCTACACAGCCTCCCAGGAGTGTTGTAGAGGCTGGAGTAATTTCCTTTGACTCTTGACCTCAGGGTTGGGTCTCCTGAAGCTCCCCATCCCTCAGGCTCCTCTGCCCCTGGGTCCCCATTCTGCCCTGGAGAGTTGGATGGAACAGATGAGCCCAGTGCTACACAGCTTGGAAGGAGGCTCACACCAGAAGTTCTGCATCTGGGGGACCCCCTCAGCCCCAGGAAAACCAGGATGGTTCCCTCTGGCATTTTCTTCTCCAGTCTAAATATATTTCAACAGTTTCTAATTAGAAAGCCTGCGGGCTTCTGCTCTGTCACACACGGTCCTCCCACCAGGGTCTGTAGAGCCTGTCACAGAGCCTTGCATACAGCTGGGTCTCTGTAGACATCTACCGAATGAATGAATGAGCAGGTCCACACCACCCTCCCTGGAGCTCCTGTCAGTTTGCCTCTTTCCTCTTGGTCCACTCTTAACACATTTTGACACATATTGTGTCAAAAGTTGAAATCAAATCAAGTAAGGGAAAAATTTAAAGTTTCCTGTGCATGAACAGCTTGAAAAACTGGAAGGCTTCAGGCTGAGACTGGCAAGAAGCTCCGTTGATGGTTACAGGTCCGTTGATGAAGCTAAGCGTGGAAGTTCACGGATCTCTACTATGATTGGCTACTAGAAGGCTACATTCATTTCCAGGTAACGGTGCTTAACATCAGACTCGTTTGCAAGGAAGCTGTGAGGTCATGCTGACATGAGGAAAGTTTAAGTTGGCTTATCATCAGAGCCAGCGTTTTGGGCAAGTCAGCGGTTTGGTTACGTGGCTATGAGTGTTTGGTCCAGGGCGTTGTTCAAACCATGGCCTCCATTTTTTATTTTTCTTTAACTGTTGTCAAGTAGGACTTCTACCACCTGGGACTCTCCTTGGTGATGCCTCTTCCCCTCTTTTTGAAAGGCTTCAGTATGGCCACAAACAGCAGGGGGAGTCCGGCTGCCATGGGCTCAGGGCTGGTGCCCGCATGGCTGATATCTGGCTCATTAGGGCCTTGGCCCAGGCAGGCGCCAGGGCAGAGCTCTGTGAGCCTGACAAAGGTGTGGCGGTTCCCAGGACAGAGGTTGGGGAAGGCCTGCTGGCCCCTTGATGTCTGTTCCCCTATCTACAATCTGCAGGTTTGCCTCTGTCCCATCTGCTGAGGGCTCCCCTGTAATCAGCGGGCTGCCTCTTCTCTGACACAGCCAGACCTCCCCTGCTCACCTGCCCTGTGCTGCCTGTCAGCGTCTGAGCGTCTGATCTTGGCCTCCAGTCTGTGCACGCCTTTAGTGCAGGAGAACAAAGACATTCTTGGGCTTGAGCCAGGCTGGAGAAGTGTCTGTGAACCTCCCTCCATCCAGTCTGAAGCCTCACTGCGAGGGGGGCTCTCTGGGCTGTCTGCCAGGCTGGGCCCCTGGGGAGCAGCTGGCTTATTCCAAAGTTGGAGATGAAAGAGAAAACTTATTCCAACCTGGCAGGAAGGCTAGAGAACTGTGATTCAGGCACCTGGGGAGGTTCAGTCACTCGAGACATCCAGGAGGGTTTGGGAAGGCTCCCTTGGCACACGTGACTGGTGAAAAGAAGGCCTCTAGCTCTGCACAGGGACACTGCCTGCCTGGTTCACTGCCGTCTCTCCAGCACCTGGCACAGCGCCTGGTACTTAGGAGGTGAGCAGTGAGCTCTCGTTAGGTGGATGAGTGGACGAACAGATGAGAGGACATCTTCTGAAGATCTTTCTGTGTCACGGGCCCTTTCTCATGCATGCAGAGCTCTCTTCTGGAGCCAAGAGGGGGAGCGGTTAGAACCCTGACTTCACTACCTACTGGCTGTGTGAGGCCAGACCAGTCCCTTCACACAGGGCTGCCGTATGGCCTCCCCACGGCTGCTGTCAGGAGTCCCCCGGAGCATGTGGAGACGGCGTATTTGGCGTATTTGTTGTCTGAGACTCAGTGAGTGCCTGAGGGCTGCCTGTGGCTCTGGGAATCTGCCCCCAAGTCGTCCCCTGGTTCTCTCTTGTCTGAGATTATGAGAGAGCTGGGTAATCCTGGTGCCAGCAGGTCCTCGGTTCAGTCAGATAACTGTCACTGGGGCACACCCATCAGGGCTGAGGACGAAGGGGACCAGGGGAGTAAATGAGGGTCCCCTTCATCCCTCAGGAGGCCGGCCTTTGACATAAGCCTTTGGGTTGGGGTGCGATTTTAGGGCACGGCTCAGGAAGCTGCTTTTCCTGTAAGTCTTGCTCGTCCTCAGTCCTTTGACACAATCCTGGAGCCCACGGCCTTGTTTCCTCCACATCTGGAGGGTGACAGGGTGTAGGGAGGCGAACTGGGCTGCCTGGCTTTCCTGAAATGTGGCCGGATGCCGGGGACACGTTTGGTCCTCCAACCTGTGTTCATTTTAAAGGCACACTTGCTGCTTCTGGCAGAGATGCAGCGCTTGTACGTGTCCTGGATGGGCGGGGGACCCCTTCCTCCATACCACTCCCCTCCTCCTCATTTTAGCCCTTTCCTCTGGAAGGCAAGGATCAGAGAGGGAAGATGCCATAGTGGAAAGAATCCTCAATCTGAAGTTTTGCATGTGGGCAGGTTCCAGGCCCTGCTGGCTTTTCTCGAGTGTAAAGTGGGTGCATAGGTGAGCCTTTGATATGTTGTGGGTGGGGTGGGGGTGGCCCAGGTCCCTCAAGGTGGCCTCTTTCAACATTGCTGTTCTGTGTACCAGTGAGGTCTGTATTCCTATCCCAGATTACCCCCCAAAAGAAGATAATCATCCACAGGTAGCAGGTGGCTGGGTGGTGGTGGGGAAAAGAGCACACGTGAAGTCAGATACCAGCCTTAGGATCAACTTTATTCTGTATTTTGTCTTCAGCAGAGAGAAGAAAGCAAAGAAGCTGGAGAGCAGACCAGTCTGCACCACGCAGATACGAATCACATCTCTAACGAAGGTACATGGCAGAAATTAAGGGACCAAAACAGACCAGCTGCGAAGCACAAACGTCAGCTAGGACCCCAAACACCCCCATCTTGACTTTCCTTATTGGCTGTTTGGATTTAATCATTTACACACTTACATTTATTTCATTTTTAAAAAGCACAACCAACACTCCAATGTCCAATCATCTGCTGTTGTTTTCTAGGATGCAGACATAAAATTGCCCAATTTTTGATTTTTGTAATACCACCAATCTCTTCTCCACACCCACAGTGGCGGTGGTGGTGATCAATACAATGTCCATCAGAATTCCATTTGTTTTGAGGCTCAGGTGACAGGCTGTCACTGAAAGATGGACAGAGGCATCCTTAGCTGTTCCACACCCAGGGCTGGTGAATTTTTGCCCCGAGGGAGCTGAAGTAGGCTTCTGCGATTTCCCCTTACAACCACACCATTCATACAGTTGAGACCTTCCTTCTATTAGACTGCTGAGAACAATGCAGAGTCACAGAGGTTGGTGAAATACAGAGAGAACGGTCTTCAGAGACACAGAGCAAGTCCTGGAACACCGAAGAAGCCAGAAGGCAAGAACAGGGTGCACACAGAGGTACCCACAGGTGAGGTCACCACAGCATGGGCTGGCATGGGGCTCTCATCTGCCGGCCGTCTTCTTGACCCCAGATGGCATTATGAGCAGCTACTTGGCCTTGCCGGGGGGTAAGCACGTCTCCTGGACTTGCTGTGCGCACACCTCTACACATTTTGTCTGGGAAAGCTCCTGGCATGGCTCTACACCCTGAAGTGGGCACTGGTCTTGGCATGGAGGTGGGCATGGATCTAGGCCTTGCTGTGGACAGTTTTCTTGTTTTAGCTCCTGGCACTGAGGAAGACACACCTCCTGAACTTGCACCGGGAACTTCTCCTGGCAGGGGTCCTGGCATGGGGGGAGGCACACCTCCTCAGCCTTCGTCTGGCATGGCTCTTGGGTCTTTTGAAGACACGGAGGAGGCACACATGGCTGCTGGCACTGCTGCTCGTGAAAGGACATCCTTAGGTGATTGTGGAACCTGAAACAAACACAAGATTTGAAATGATCTGTATTAATGGTACCTGGCTGGGAACTGGGGGGTGAAGGCTTGGTAGAAGGGAATGGGGAGTGAGTGGTTATGAGCCCTAAGAACTCATTTCTCTGCTGCTTTGTATCCCTTTCTCTTTTCTATCCCTATTTCAGCTCCTCTGACCCCCATCGCCTACGTGGGGATAGTCCCATAGCTTTCGTCTGGATAGCCATACCCCAGTCCTACCCCAAGCCCAGTCCCTCCACAAATGTTTTCTTTCTCTTCTGTTTGACTCACCTTTTTGAAAATCAGCTGCAAGAGACTAGATGCACAGGATGGCTGGAGAGGCTCAAGAAACGGCAGACCACTTCCAGTGCAATGGAGCAAGAGAACAGCGTCCCGGAGGCAGAGCAGCAAAAGAGAGAGGGCGCAGGTGTCCCCACTTACCCGATCTTCAACAAGAACAGCACAGGATGCAGATTGCAGAGCCCAGCAAGGTAGGGACTTTTATACAGTGCTTGGTCCAGCCTCCTCCAGCGCTGAGTGGCCACGTGGGCTGAGGTCCTAATTGTGGAGTCACCATAACGAGCTTCCTCTGAAATTGCCCATGGTTTGAGTCACTGCTTGGGATAATCAGCCTCCGTTTTGGCCCCTGGGTCCTCACCAGACCTAAGCAGGGAGGGGCTCCTCTCAGATCCCTCTTATTAGAGGCAGCAATAAAAGAATGTTTGTAAAATGTTATCTCAGTCTGGTAAACTCGGATTGGGTTTCTTGTCTGCCCAAGCTGGTTCAGGATGTGGTGAGAGATAAAATCCACCTTGCTCATCTGTTCTTCACCCCTGGGAAGACTTTATGCCTAAGGCCTGGGGTCTGTCAAGGGTGTGAACGGCCTGTTTCGGACATTTCCACCGGATGCCTCTTCAGTGAGCCTGGGAAGTCACACTTTCAGACCCAAGGAAGATGGTTTGTCCTGTGGTCCCAAGTAAAGGACCTATACCTTCCTGGAGAGAGCGATTTCCCTGCACAGACCTCTTGAGGGGAATTAAGGTCATGTGTTACCCTTGGGTCATGCAGTAAGGTGGGGAAGAGAAGAGGGAAAGGTCAGGCAATCTCCGTCTTCTTGACCTGGATTTATGACACTTCTAAAAGTGGAGTTACTCACAGAGTTTTCATAATAACCAAGACAGCAGGGTGGAACAAGATCGGTCTGTCTCCTTGCCTTCTGGAAAACCTTTTTTTCCAACTCAGGCCAATAAAAGCCAGGGGATGAAAGGAAAAGTTTCAAAGAGAACGCACCCAGTTTTTTGTACCTCCACGTTAGTCTCTGTGTGGCTGTCACCTCCACCTTGTGTGACCCTCCTGTCTATCCCTGGTGAAATCTGGAGCATTCGTTAAGGCTCCACTCAAGTCTGCCACCTTCCAAGACCCTTTCCTGATTATTTTAAACCAGAAATGAATCAGCCTTTTTCTGACCACCCATAGTTTCTATTACTTACGTGGTTTATGTGACATTTACTGTTGTTATTAGGAATTGCAAGTATTTATGTGCAAGATCTTATGACTTTCCTGGGCTGTAGCTCCCTAGAGGGTAGGGGTTGTTCCACAGATACTGTAAGTGGAAGATAAGTAGTAATTGATGGAGTCAATGAAGAAGTAAATGTGGGAGACAATGGGAGTAGGGGAAGATCTTATGTCATGGAAAATGGGAAAAGGTTTATTGTGAAAGAAACCCCTAGGCCATCAAGTGATAGCTTTTTATTTGTTTGCTAAATTTCACCAAACTGAAGGGTCTTTAAAGATGATGACAGCTCCTTTAACTTGAAGAGGTACGTTTAGGTCATTTCCTAAGAGAGGTATCTGGCTAAAAATCAGACATTCCTTCAAAGGTTTATATGGTTTTGGGATGTTTCATCCCTAAAACGTTTTTTAAAGGTGAGCTGGGGGAGACAGGTGCCATTCTGGCCTTTAGGACTGGTGCACGGAGGATCGAGGTAGCACCAGCATGGACCCCTGTGTGCTGGTAGGAGGCAGATGCCTGGAGGGAGGCCCTGGGGAGTCGTGCTGCTGTTCCTGGGCTCGTGGTCTCCTGGAGGCTGGACGGGGAGAGGGGCTGCTTGGGATGAGGGAGGGATTTGGAAGACCTGTGGGTGTGTCTGAAGGGACAGGGTTGTTTGAGGATCAGGTGTGGGAGGGGGTCTCTCCTCCTCCTTGTCCTTCTCTTTTTTCATCTCCTCCTTCCATGCCTCCTGTCCTTCTTTATTTCTGCCATCTTTTCTGTGGATGTTGTCCAAGAGACAAGGCACCTTTCTGGAGTCCTAGGACTCAGGGGCTTCTCCACCATTGGGCTTTTTCATTCATTCTTTCAGGCATTTGTAGTCCTTCTTTCAAGGGGCTCATAGTCTCATTGAAAAGATGGACAGAGGTAAGCCCCCACGCCCCAGAAGAAGGTCCTTTCCTTAGTCTTGGGTGGAAGGTCCCGGAAGGCTCCTCTAGGAGGAGATTTCTGTGCTAGGTTTTACTGGGCGGTTAAAAGGCACCTAGGCTAAGAGGTTGGGCAAGGGCATTCCAGGCAGCCTGGAGGAAAGAATCTTTGTTTGGAGCCTGCTGAGATGAGGGGAGAGCCTGAGGCTGACTCAGGAAAGGGGGTGGGTGAGAGACTGGGGGAGCAGACCTGCTTGGTTGAGATTTCTAGAGGTTTTCTGCAACAGGATACATGAGATGACCTTGCTCGTGTCACTTATCTTTCTGTGTCTTTGGTTGAACCTAAGGAGAAGGAGACCAAACAGGGACGTGCAGGTCATGTTCTCATGGAAGGTGGTGGGTGGAGGTGGTGACTGCAGTTCAGAGGAGCCCAGGGTTCAACTTGTCCCAAAGGACTCTGTGCCTGATGTTGAGCTGATTACATGAGGCGGATCCACTGTGATCATGAAGGCCTTCAGCGAGAAAGGGGCGGAAGAGTCAGTGTCAGAGTGGTGCGGGTGAGAAAGATTTGCCCGGGCCCTGCTGGTCCCGAACATGGAAGGAGACCGGGTAGCAGGAATGTGGGCCACCTTCAGCAGATGTAAAAGGCAGGGAAACATTCTCCCATCGAGCCTCCAGAAGGAAATATGGCCCTGTTGGCATTTTGACTTTAGCTCAGGGAGGCCTGTGTCAGACTTCTGACTTCCAGAACTGTAAGATGATAAATTTCTGTTGTTTTAAGCTACTAAAATTATGAAAACTTGTTACAGTGCCAGTAGAAAAGTAATACATCCCCCGTTGTCCGGAGCTCTTGGGAACTCCGGAGGACAGACTGTCAAACGCAGAAGCACAATTCCAGCTTAGCGCCCCTTCGGTTATACCTATATGCCCACTTGTCTTGTCAGCCCCTCAAGAAGACTAGCTTGTGGCAATGATGGAAAAGAATCGGGCTCAGAGTCCCATTGACTGAGGGTTGTTACATAGCGTATGTAATATTGGATAAGCTACTTAGCCTCTCAGAGCCACAATTCTCCCTTGTTGAGAAGAGATAACACAATCCCACAGATTTTGTTACCAAGTCCAAGCTTGTGCCACTCGCTGCACGACATGCCAATGAGTCATTAGACAAGGTTATTGGGAAAGGAAAGTGGTTTTATTCCAAAAGCCAGCAGACTGGTGACACTCGTTGTCCTTGGTTAGTTGACTCCAGTCATTTCGCTGACCTGGGTCTGGCCATGATGGTCCCATGATTCCTTAACAATCCAGGTGTCATTTTTGTACAAACTTTATGTCCTCGGGGAAGGCGAGTCTTTTGGGTAAGGGGCTGGTTGCATCAGCCTTAAGTCATGAGCAAAATCCCTTTTGATGATTAACAAACCTATGTGCTGGGCTGCAGGGCTGAGAAGAAGCTTTTTGACCCAAAGGTTATGAAGGCAGAGCTGCCCAGCCTTTCACTCTGGTACAATTTCTTGTGAGAAGCAGAGAACATTTGTGCCAACACTTATGGCTGTCCAGCTATCTCAGCCTGTTAGTGCAGCTGGAATCTGCTCAGGACCCAGCTCCTTCTGGAGGCGTTCCCGGGGTACCCAGTTCCTGTTCCAGCTCCTTTGCACTGCTCCCCACCCCCCGACTCCCCGACACACACTCGGTCTTCGAGCCATAGTTTTCTGCCCATGTGACGCAGTAGACAACACATACACAGGATGTGTGACCTCAGTCAAGTCCCTGACCTTCCCTGGCCTCACCTTCGCCATCTCTAAAATACGAAAGCTAGACAAGGAATCCGTCAGGTCCATTCCAGCTTTGACGTTCTGTGATACTATAAATGTGATCATGAATGATTAGCCTGCGTATCTTTATGACTTTGTCAACATGCGGATGCCTGTGTATGTGGGGGGCTCTTATCCTTGAGGAGGTCGTACTCCGCGCATAAGAAGGCCCAGTCTTCATCTTCCACGGACGGTAGTCGGCTCAGCCCGAATGACCTGAGGTGACCTATTTTTGCCTAGATACAGAGTGAGGGTATCTGCGGTCTGAGCTCTCACAAGTCAACCTTAGTGGCCCAGTATGTGGGGCTCTAGCTTGGGCAGCTTTGGGGAGATTGTCTCATCCTACATCTTAAGATGAGGAGACTAAGTAGTTTCTCTAACCATCCCCAGCCCTCCAGTGAAATTGGGGCTAATCTGATTTAATGCCACCTGAGATTTAAGATTTTAGATTTCTGCGGCTGTCATTATTGGGAGCAGGGTGTGATTCCACAGGGTCAGCAGAAGAGAGCCAGGTGTGTGCAGAATACTGCTTTTTTTCCCATTCCCATGAAATAACTATACCCTTTGTTCAGATCATAAAAGTTTCCGGACTCCTCCGATTCATTCGGCTGGTCCCCGTCAGCATGTGACAGGGCGAGGGCCGATAAAGCTGGATGGTGCACAATGTGGCTCATCCTATTTTCTGGGGAGTAGGGGCCCTGGAGAGCTCGTGGGTCCCTGGGGGAGAGTCCACCCCTCCTCTCACTTCCCTTCCTCCAGTGTCACTCACCTGGGGAGTCTGAATCAGAGGTGGTGGGAGGGGCTGTGGGCCACAAGCCACAGGGCCCAGAGGGGACATGAGAGGCCACCTGATTCCACCTCCTTGTTTTAGCCCAGCACGTGCTTTAAACAGGAGGCACAGAAAGGCACAGAATTATTTATTGGCTGCATTGTTCTTAGATGAGGAAACTGAGATGCCGAAGCATTGAGGGCCTTGTTCAAGGTCGTGTGGGGAGCTTGTGTCTGGACTAGGCAATGGTCTATGTAAAAGCATTTAGGAGACCACTGCACTGGTGATTCTTTATAAACCTCAAAGAGGCAAAAAGACACAGACTAGTCAGCGGTTCTGAATAGTTTTGGGTGATGAGGAAATATGCATATGTACACACTTTACCCTCCAGGGCTCCACAGCCCCCAGGTTGAAGACCACAGACAAGGGGAATGGAGAGAAATGACGTTCCCAAACTGTTCAGATT